AAACAGGTAGGAATAGTATGGCCCGAGTCTTCCGAAGTCGTTATGGATAAGCGATGAAGAGGTGCTCTAGACACCAGTATGTTCATGCGATATTCCAGTATTAGCCGTGGACCTACGTTAGATAGCTAAAGTATATACTGTCTAGACTATGAGGGCCGAGATAAGTGAGGAGAGAATAATTCAGTTCGATAATGTAGAAGAACGTAGCTATTGGCTGACATGGCTGAAAGACTGGAATTGAGTTTCCAGTCTCGCATTGCTTGCTCGCACCTCTACGGAGTATTGTAACTATCTTAGCCGATGTTGTATACCATAGATAGACGCAAATGCGTGAAAGTCCCAGGCCAGGCATTGCGGCAGAGCACGTGGACAAGCCGCATGGAATTCGAGAACCATCGCTGCAGCGTGGACAATATAGAACCATCATAGCAGCATTCTCGATTATCCGTCCTATCATCAGTGCGAGTGTGATATGGAATATGTTGACTCTGTTCTAGAATATGCCAAATGTGATCAAGTGATCCGACAATGGCTCCAGGTCTCGGGATAGTGTCTAGACGAACTTGTTCTGGACCATTGTTTTTTGACTTCGACAGGCCTAAGTATCTACCTTCCCGAAACGCATGCGACGGCTGTCCGACTCTACACTTTGCATTCCTCGGCTAATTCTCGCACTTTGATCGCACGCTGGGGTGGTCAGCATCATCAATTTGCCATCTCGAGATCGATGTGCGGCCCTGAACCAGATATTGGCTCATCGGAAGCATAGCAGCGAATCATCGCCGTTGCCAACTCATCCAAGATGGTACTTTCCATCAATCATTATTGCCGGTCAGGTAAAGATTGATTAGCTGAGATTGCAGGAATTGATTTAGATGCGTGTAGGTAGGAGAGGTACTGGGAAGCGGATTATTAGTAAGTAGTGATCTAAAGTTGACCCTTTTTTCGCCTCCTAGGAGACGCCGGATGGTCCTAGCCTTCCAGTTGGCCTTCCCGTCTATCTGAGTTTTGACTATTGCCGAGTGCGGTTCTGGATTCGCCCCAGAGAGTTCTTTGAGTTCTTCATGATTCATCCAGCGCTTTCCTGGCACGAGCGATGCTACCCCAAGTTAATGTCCGGATTACGCAGAATTTAGTTGCTGTCCTCGCCTTGGATGGTAATGATGGACTGACTGGCTCCACTACCCGGGTCATCATCACTCAGTAGTACTCCACTTCTCCAGTATTTCAAACAAGGTTGCCTCTCTAGTATGATGACTACCTAGACACGCAATAAACCCATCGCTTGTTGGTGTTCTGGAGGCCTGGCACCGACGTCAGAATGGTTCCCTCGGGAAATATTTATGCCAATCCATGGTCCTCGGAGGCGAACTGTAGAAATCTTATCTACCACGTTTATGCAGATATTTTGGATTTGCCTCTTATACTCAGCTCTATCTCACCTTCTTCTGCTCTACAACCAACCTGTTCGGAATAGTATAGAGCATTGGCCTGCCTATTTCAAGTCCCACAGGTCTTCAGTTGCCTTGAATAACTCGGGCCTGTTGCGACCTGCTGGAAGGTCAACGCTCGCGAAACATTTTGGAGATTGGGCGGTTGTGGCAAGTGAACCTAAGTGGAAAGGCTACCGAGCTTTCCTACGTCCAGCCTTTAATGCAGTAGCCCTTTGCACTTGTAGGGCACTTGAGCAAATTGCCTCGGATGCGGCAGCTGTGAAGCCTCGCTTGACGCTTCTTTCTTAACATCTGATATCAGCAATTGAATTGCGGTCAACCAAAATTACTGCCGACGACTTCAAGTTCGGAGCCGTTAGAAGTCAGACCGGGGCTCCAGCGCTCTATCGCGTCAATCGCACGTCCCCTGCTCGGATCAGAATCAGAGAGAACGATCTATCGCACGCCTCCAAGCTTAGCTGCTGCAGAAGCCGTATCTGAGTCTAGGGCAAAATGGCGTCAACTATCCTGCCCCGACCTGCAGCAAACATTACGCCGCCAGAGATCCTGCTGCAAATCTTTTATTTACTTAGTCCACGAGATTTTGACAATGCTCGGCGGACGTGCTCTCAATGGATGCGTGTGAGTCTCGATAAGGACTTGCTGGAGAGCATGCTCAAGCGGGCAGGCTGGTGGGACGCCTGGAAACAGGACTGCGACATTTACCGCGTTGATTCTTCTGCAAGTGAGCAGAGTCTGGTGTGGAGAATGAGCAGGAGATTTGCCACTGAATGTATCTTGTCTGGTCGCAAGTCTAATGTGGAAAGAGCTGGCTTCTTGACAACGGGTGTCGTTGATTTCTCTCGACTTTCTCAGGGACAGTCTCTCCTGAAACAGCGGGTTTCTGCTCCCCATGCAGCTGCTGGCACTGTCATGGACCTTGATTCCAAACCTCTGGCCACGTCTAAATTTCATGTCAGTAATTGTGCCAACTATCTACTCGTTACCTCCGGCTGCATAATATATGTTTATCATCTACTCTCGCGGAAATCTGGAAGCGTCGTGCCCACAACAATGGACGCTTTGACGGATTTGGACATTGCTCCAGTTACAAGCATCATCTGTCCGGTTGAGGTGATATCGGCTAGTATCGATACCAGTACTTCGAAGATCGGGATTGCGGCCTTGCTACGTGACCGTCTGGGATTTGTTTGTGACTTGAATGCATCGAACGAACGTGCCTCTACGCGACTGGAAGCCATGCAATCTTTGGATCCATCATTTATCCACTATTTCCGCAATATCTGCTCCCCAGAAGATCCACCGCGCAGTGTCTCGATTTGTCCAGGCCGTCGATGCGTTGCTTTTGGCTCTGGTGCTGGCATCGAGCTACATTGGGTCGACGAGAAGACAAAACAGAATCAGAGAAAGCGGTTTTCCATGTCGCAACCATCGGAGATACTACACTTCCTTCCCCATCGGCCGGAGACACCCATGGAAATGCGGCTCATCTCATCGCTGGCTGGACCAGGGATGCCAGGTTGTCAATGCCACAAAGCATCGTACGGGGAAAGGCGTTCCCTTTGTCAGTTTCACCTTCTGACTGACGTACAATCACTCACTCGATGGACTCCTTCAAACAACAACAGTCTGAGTGTAGTGAGAGCAACTCATTGTCACCATTACCGAGCTATCCCAATCAACGATGGATTGCATATCTTGTTCATTGAGCCCCGCACAGGTCTACTCTGTATTGGCTCTGACGCGCCTATCGGCGGACCGACAAGCTTAACACGGGCACTTGTCTGTGTGCCACCGTTTGAGAAGGATTCCTTGAATGTTTCTAAGGATGATTTGGCTCCTACAGTCTTCGCTTCAGGATGGAATCTGGACTGGGGGTTGCGTGTGGTCGCTGCGTATGGCGATCGGATCGTACTATATTCGGTACCTGTAGATGTTTACAACGTCATCCGAAAAGAGCGCGAGAGACAAGGAGACGGTGTCATGGGAGACAGTGATCTAGCAAGGGACTTTTTCCTCGACAATTCGTGGTCAGGCAAGCGACGGGAAAGTCTTGTGCAAGACCAGAGTGGCGACTGGGAGTTCCTCCTCAGTGTCAGCTGGCGACCAACAGTGATGATGTGGCCATTCAAGATCTACGGCAAGGAGATTGCACGTATGGAAAACGTGGTTGAACTGGCTCTTCAGTCTGCCACTGGAGGTGCGCGAATCTGGGCCTTTGGTGCTAACGGTGAAACAAATATTATCGACATCGACACCTTCAGCTTGAGCAATCAACAGAGTTCCAGCATTCCTTGCAAGTCATTAACCATCGATGCTGATGGCAATATCGCCTCTGCACAATGGGTGGACAGGACCGACTCTGGGTTGTTGACATCACAATCCTCGCGCAAGCGCAAATCGTCTGATTCTCGGGAGGACTTTGGTGGTCAGCAGTCTGCCATTTGTCGACTACCACGGTTCTTGCACGAGGGATACGTTCCTACGAACAATGTCCTACCCCCAGCGTTTCTCGGCCCTGCTGCACGCCGCCCATCCTTTGCTGCGTGCATCGTGGATTTCAAGATCCCCGAGTTGGGCCAGCGCGAGGGTGCCTGGGTGGACGGTGCTTGTGCTTGAGAAGTTGGCCTAGAAGAGCATTCAGTGTGTGGATTGATTACACTTTCTTGTGGAAATGACATAGCGCGGCGCATGCATCTGCTCTATATCTATACCCGTCTATAACACTCGATTTCCATTTTTAGGAGATTGAAATACTTTGTATTATTCTAATCACTATTATGTCATAGAGAGATTTCTGCCTTCTACTACCTCTATATGGCCATATGAATCCTTAACTATACATCCAACGAATAATACTGACAATATGCGCAATATGTTTAATAACCTCAAGCCTGGGGGTTGCTACGATCGGCATCATCTCCGATGCCAATCAGAATGCGGGCAATAATCGGCATCCGAATGGTCGGAGCCCGGCTTTTTTGAACCAGTCCATAGAAGCCATGAAAGCGAGGACGGCCTTGCATGCACTGGTCTCAATGCCGTTTGACTGCTACGTTACAGATACCTGGCTGCACGAAAGAAGGTACAGAGCAGTTGGCTTTCCTGGTATTCAATGGGTAGCTCCAGTCGATCCTCAATATCGGGCTTGGATGCTCTAGACGACCTCTGTGAACAGATAGGAGTGATGGCAGATAGAAAGTCCAGAAAAATGTCATTCCTGTACTCTGCACCGAACATAATTCGAAGGTGAACGATCATAAGGGACTCTGTGGTCAAATGCATGCTATCAATTTTTGAGGTGGCAGGTAGCCTAGACCAGAAGGTCTCGAGGTAGCTAGCGTTGATAGTATTTCAGGAAAGGCGAAGAGAAAAGAAGACTTCATAGAGCCAATGAATTAAGTATCTCAAGTATGTAAACCCGAAACAGACCTTGTGGACAACGCTATTTTCATCAAGGATCGCCCGCATCAATATATCCAATGCTTTTATTGAAAGAGACAATGAGAGTCAACGAGAGAAGGAAATAGATAAAAGGTCATAAATCTACTTAGAAGTTCCATTGGTGGCGAGCCTTTCTCTCCGGGCACGCACGGCCTGTGCGAGCGTTTCGAGGACAGCTTCCGAGTCCTCCCAATTGATGCAAGCATCTGTGATACTGACGCCGTACTTGAGACCAGCCTTTCCCTCAGGAGGAACCTTTTGGTTACCTAAATTGCGAGTTTAGTTAACTGAAGTTCAAGTCTCACACTATGTGAACGGCAGCTTACCCTCATTGATATTGCTTTCGATCATGACACCCATAATGGCGGTCTCTCCCGCGGCAATCTGCTCGGCCAAAACGGCAGCAACCTTGGGTTGATTCTTGTGGTCCTTCTGCGAGTTGCCATGGCTGCAGTCGACCATGAGACGGGGAGGCAGACCCTTTGAGGCCAACTTAGCCTTAGCTTCGGCGATGCTCTGAGCGTCGTAGTTGGGGCCCTTCTTTCCACCACGGAGGATGACGAAGCAGTCGGGATTGCCCACGGTGCCAACAATGGCGGCAACACCAGGCTTTGTGACGGAAAGGAAGTGATGAGGGTGCTTGACAGACCCAATGGCGTCCACAGCAACGTCTAACGAGCCATCGGTACCGTTCTTGAAGCCGACGGGGAAAGAAAGACCGGAGGCCAATTCACGGTGGACCTGCGACTCGGTTGTCCGTGCGCCAACCGCGCCGACAGAGAGACAATCGGCAAGGAACTGAGGAGAAATGGTATCCAGCATCTCACTGGCGATGGGCATACCCTTGTTGGTCAAATCGACAAAAAGCTGGCGCGAGGTGCGCAGACCCTTGTTGATCTTGAAGCTGTTGTCGATATCGGGATCGTTGATGAGACCCTTCCATCCAACTGTTGTGCGGGGCTTTTCGAGGTAGGCGCGCATCACGATCAGCAATTCGTCATTGTATTTCTCCTTCATTTTCAGAAGTCGATCGCAGTACTCGAGCGCCATGTCGGGGTCGTGAATCGAGCATGGCCCGATAACGACCAACAAACGCTGCTTGTCGGTATCTGTGCCATGGACAACCGCAACAGCCTCTCGACGAGCTTGCAATACTGTTTGCCTGGACTTATCTGTCATGGCGATTTCATGTTGCAGAAGGTTAGGGGGTGTGAGGGGGTTGTATCCTCGAACTATTCATTTGCGAGAAAGCTCGTCAATGAAGGTCATTATGGAGATTGGAGCAAAAAGGAACATACTCCGCGAATCTTCGAGGTGGTCATTGTTCCCTACGTTAGGGTTTTCGATGAAGAACTAAAAGGCTTGAATGAGCTTCCTCGTTACATAGGAGACAACAAGCTTGGCTGGAAACTTCGACTCACAGACATGGCGGGTGGCGGGGTAAAGTAAGCGTCTCTCACTAATACTGATGATTAAGAGAGGGGTAAAGGGAAAAGGATAGAGGGATGGAGCAGTCCGAGTCGACCGTAGATTATTTGAGTCGTGAATTGAGAGAAACAGAAACCGCCTCAATTTTCAAGACCAGCTTAATCCCCGAATTTCACTATGACTCAAAAAATTTCTAAGTCTTCAGGGTGCCCTTGCTTGTCCTGCTGCGACTTCGGCCACCGATCGCCCAGGCACGTGACTTCGGTGAGTCAAGGGATCCATGCCTGCGCTCTTGCATATTCGGTCTTGCATTCCTCCCTTTCACATTCGCTGTGTCTCTCCGACTTGTAGGTAGTTAGATACAACGCATATCTGTCTTCCTGCAATACCACATCACACAGAACACCGCTAATATACGGAGCACATGGTACTAAGAGGATTGTTGGCCCGAACCATTGACGTCCACTACGGTCAATGATATAACCCTTCCATTGCTTTGATCCAATTCTGGTCCCTGCGAGGTTGCCATCATTATGCAAGCTGTGTGAGAAATTTATCATGAGTCCTTTAGGACCGTTTTCAACATTAGACGATCAATCTTCCTCACTGAGATCCTTCAGTAAGCGCTGCTCATGTTCCTGAAGTTGACGGATCAACTCCTGACAAAGATCTGAGTGATGGCTTTTGATCGCTTTCATATGTTGTTTACATAGCTTGATCCGCTCTTCTTGCCCCTTGACAAGTTGTTCTAGCACTCGGTTGTATTGCTGGCGGTACGAGTTCAGGAATTTGTTGATAGCCGTCCTTTCCTTGTGGAGTCCGTGCAGTAGGTGCTTTGCGCTGCATTAGCAATGACACGGCCATCATGCATTGTGTAATGGAATTGACTTACCTCATTTGTAATCAGTAGCATATCGCGGGCGCTCTCATGCAGTGACTGCAATGATGACGCTAAGTCAGCCTGACCAGGCAACTCCTCACTGCATGGACTCGTTTCAGTCGGATCACCGCTGGATTCAATGAAGCACCCTTCTTCCTTGGATGAAAGTTGCGTCGCTCCATCGCCTTCAGCATTCGACCTGTTCAACCTTCTTGGTAACTTTTTGGGAGGCTTCGATGAAAACCGCATCGTGAACTCCTTTCCTGATGCGGTTACGGGTTTTGACGTGATCAACCCTTCTCTGCCACCAGTTACGGGAGAATTTTCAGAAACTTCCTCATTAGTTGCTGTTTCACAGTTTCTGGGAACATATCTGGCGGGATGAGCATCCATTTTTGTACGAAATGAAGGGACCTCAGCTGTCTCAGGGGGAATTTCTTCTGGTTGCTCATCAAAATCCGCTTCGTATCCAGATTCACTAAATCCTTGTGAAATTAAGCTCATGCCCGCCCGCATTAGTTCTCCAGGTCCTTGAGCAAAGTCGAAGTTTGTGTGGGTAGGACATTGGGATCCAGCAGTGCGTTGAGAGACCAGCTGGGGACTCCCATTGTTGTCAACTATGGTCTTTCTGGGGGTCACCCTCGGAACGACCTTAACACGAGAGATCATCTTTGTGCTGCCTAGATCTGATAGACCTCCCCCTTCGGGTTTCTGTCTCTGGCGGATCGACGTGAGACTGTGATAGCCAGCCGTGACCCTTTCCCTTCCCCCAGTCGAAATCTGCGGTCTGGCATTTTCGAGCTCTCCATTATTCAAAGCATACAGGCCAGGTTCGCTTTTCCCTGCGTCACAAATCCCTTGGGGTTGACATTCAATCTTATTTGCCCGGCTTTCTGCTTCACCGCTTGTCACCACTGAGAGCTTTTTGTGTGCTCTCTTCTTCCGCGATGCATTGTCTTTCTCGGTTCCGCCAGTCCTCCTTTTCCTTCTTGTTAGCCTCGTTGATGAAATCTGCTGCATACTCCCAAGGTATTCCTGGCTAGTCTGTTCCTCCGCTACCGCTTCCTCGGCATCTGAAGAGAGATGTGTCGTTCGGACCGTCCGAGACACTAAGGCCTCCTGGGGCTGTACCTTGACCGCGCGTTTTTCGGAATCTTCGTGCTGTAATGCGAAAGCGCCCATTGGGTGGCTTTCAGAGTCTTCTTTGTCTAGTGAGCCAATAACTCCGCCAGGTATAGTCGCATCTTTCTGCCTCTCCTCTCCCGGCAGAGAGAAAATGCAACCATCATGAATGGCGGAAGCCAACTTTTCACCCACGACTCTTCCTCTACCTCCAAGCTTACTCTCTTTGAATCCTGGATTGGAAATAATCTGTGTCTCTTCACAGTCGGAAGTTGCCTTCTGAGTTTGCGGATCGGACGTTTGGCTTGCATGTTGATCGCCTGTGGCCCCGAACGACTCCAAAATGAGCGGGCAGCCTATTTCCTGCGCCTGATCCATCAGGAACGCAATACTTTGCTCGACACCCGATACCTCTGTAGCAACAACCAGTGCAGCCTCCGGTGCCTCGTCAGTAAGTCTTTCAAGCTGTCGGGGAGGGCCCCCTTCAACACTGTTGTCCTTAGACGCTCTATCCGCCTTGGTGCGACTTCCTTTCGAAGTTTCGCTCTCAGCGTTCATCTCAGACATGTTGGTTACACCAACTGTACCTTCCGGATTTGATTGCTGGGCCAAATTACTTTCTTCAATCTCATGCTGGCCCTCTTTGTTGTCCAGACCCACCTTTCTGGACATCTTTCTGCGCTTTGTGGACGATGTCTTGCCCTTCGTTTCTCTTTTGGTCCCTTTTCTGGACGCCTGATGAAAAATAGATTTCTCTCCGGGCGGAGGAGACGGAATTGAAGTGACATCAATAGTTTTCTGACTTTCGAGCTGTTCACGCTCGTCGCTTGGTCGTAGGTCTTCTTCCCAGTCAACAGAAGTTCTTGCATGAGTATAGATCTTCCTTGTAGAGTGCCGCATCGGAAAGATCAGGGATTCCTGGGTGTCAGGCATTAGGCCTCTAGCCTTTTTACTACTTGTTAATCCTATCTTCTGCTGGTGCCTTCTGGAGTGCAGTCTACCTTGCGCGGGTAGCCAACCAGCATCATTTTCTCCAGGCACCCTAGAATGGCTAGTGTGGCCATGTGGCGGGCTCTTCTTCCATGTGCCAGTATCGATCTCTGCGAGGGCGCAGGTAGAGAGCCCTTTGTGCAGCTTCCCGGCTGGATTGTCACAATACTCCTTCAGGGTTAGCGGATTTCCACCCTCTTCTACCATACTCCGTTCTGGTGACTTCTGTTTAAATGCCACAGGTGACCTCTTACAACCATGTTGCTTCGAACTATGGTTGGAACTAATGGGATGCAAAGTCTGGAGGCTATCTCCCATGACAGAACTGCGGCGCGCTGATTCGGATTGTTGAGACAAGAGGCCACGGTCATGGCTGCCGGACGTCGCTTGTGATTCACAGGGCTTATTTTCAGGCTGATTTCCATCCGATTCAAAGCAATAGACGGGGCGCTGCTCTGCATTTTCGAACACTGTCTGGCTATGGTCAAATGACCCGCTGGCATCATCATAAGTATCGAGCGATATTATGATGGATGATGATATCCGGGTCAGCGTGCTCAATTCTGTGCTTTGCCTTTTCATCTGCTTGCAATTTGTCTCAATTGTTGTATGCAGATCCGTCAAATCATGATGTGATGATATACTGAGTGTTGATTCTCCCGAGATTTGTCTCTTTCCATTCACTGATAGCGAAGCATCCACATCAAATTGTAAAATCAAGCGGGACATCCCGCCATCTGTGTATTGCCTGGATGTGCGCATAGCCTCTAGAGTAGAGCGCATCGAGATAGTGACGAATTGGTAGAGCTTTCCGGATGGGCGAGTCACAGCGAGTATGAATATCAAAGACTCCGAGCTTACTACGCCGAGTAGCTCGGACCCCTGTGATAATGTCCTGTTCTCGCAATTTCTCGATAGGACAAAGTCGCAGGATGGCACAAGAATAGTGCATTTCTCAGGTTCCCACTGTATACGCTGCGCTTCGCACTCGTAATCGTGAAAGAACTTGATCGGTTCCTCTGGGAAAGCGACCATGCTCCTGGAAAGCATATCCGGCAGTTTAAAGTCGTGCGCATGACCAAGTCGCTTAATGTCTTTCTGTGAAAGGTGTAGTTTCTGCATAAAAGCGCCCGCGAAGAACCTTGTCACGGAATCATTTTCATATAATATAATCGGGATAAGTCTATAGAGCCTAGGAGTTAGAAAGGCCAAGACTACATGAGGACTTTTGCGCTTACTGAGTTATATCCTCATCCTGGAATTCAAAGGGCAGATTCCTAACATCCTTAGTCCAAGGCCATATTTCCACGAGGAATTTGCCCGCCTGAAAAAGTTCAGTACTTGCTCAAGCAGTCAGACAGTGATAACAGACCAGTCGTCGAATGTGCTTGTCTCGCCTTTTGTCTATGAATAAGCCATATAGCGTCTGAATCAGCTTGCGTTGAACGAGCTGCAGCTGATTCCGAAAACGAAGAAGTGTCACCTCGGATCTTTTCCGTTTTGTCTCGGCGACATAGTTTGATTCGTCCTGCAGAGATCAGCTTCGTCGTGCTCCTCGTCGACTCAAAAGGCACAGGTAAACCGACAAGCAAGAGATTCAGCCCGGTTTCCTGCTCGGACTCAACATCCAAATTGAGAAGTAAATATGCTAGACAACGCACAGAGGTCGTGTTCAACGATTGCACTATATCTGCTTCGTATCTGTGTAAAACGTCAATGACCTTCTGAAGATGCTGTACGCGAATAGGCGTTTTGATGCGTAGAAAAGCGTCGATCAAGTAACTAGGGACACTGCGGAGGTCAGCTCAGCGGAAATACATCCCTCCTGGCTCGAAGACTGACAGGAATTCCTTATCATTTGCCTCCCCGGTGAAAATGCGCTCTAATCTTGTCGCCAGTTCGGTAAAGTCAGCAAGTTGTTCGTCTGTGAGAACTGTCTCTGGCGATGAAAAAGGCATTTCGTAGCTTTAGGCATGACTTTGATGCCCAGATCCAGTTCTCGATGTCAATTCATTACGGACAGAATAAAAGTGAATGGATGAAAAGAGAAGCAGGTAAGTGCCGTCACATGATGGGGCTTCACAAGAGTCTTCTGCACGCGCTTGGTCAGAATGAGGCGTTTAGGCAATCGACTCTGACTCTCCTAAGGCTTGAAATGTCTTCTCCAGCCAATGTGTATATTTTTTTCCTCGGATGCAGGTTATTGCGTACTACCAGGTAAGTGGAGCTACAAAGACGTATACAGTTGCCTGGCATACAGTGTTGGCTTGATAAGGTCCTCAGGTACAGAAAGTCCGAGTCACATCTCGCCCACAATGAACAATGATCCAATCTGCCCTTGACTATCCGGCGTGTTAAAGATATACGGTGTTGGCCTTTCCATGAGTCTTCATCCCTAGACACAGGCTTTGCTTTGGGATCTAGATGCAAAACCGCAAGTGAGCAGACAAGCTGATTTAAGATGCTGATATCTCATATACCAAGCTTCTGAGCAGCAAGAGGACGTTCACAAAATGCGAACATACGAGAGAAAGCCCTTGAGCACAAGGGTAATGAGATATGGGATTCAGCAACAGTGTCCGCTGAAAAGGCCACTTTCGCGGGCCTTGCAAACGTACTCAAATGCAAGTACGAATCAGCAAATTGCTTGATTATGTCTTGGACGAGAGTAATAATGCGGTTGATAACAGCGAGTTGCAAACAAAGAGGTCGTCAAGTCTTACTTCTATGATGTGTGTTCTGTAAGCAAGGCAAAATCTTCTGAGCCTCGCAGTGTATCGAGAAGGCAGGAATCTCATGAAGCAGATACCTGGAATATTCCAACCCTTCCAACAAGCATTAGGCAAGTACTTATGATGTCAGGGAAACCTGACCCGTTGAGCGACTGAGTCAAATGTTTCATATGTTTTCGCTATCTAGCTAAAAACTGGTAATGTCAACTGAAATGGCAGAGCCGAAATTGGTAACATCCTCGGTCGTTGGACAGCCGAAATGCTTGGTTGATGTTTGATAAGCGGTGGCTTTAATGGATTTCTGTGTCGCTTCAGTGAATTGCCTTGGTATCATCAATCTGACCAATAGGCTCCACTCCTATGGGGACTCGCAGTAAGGCCACAAGCTTCTTTGTTGAACGACGCACCAACCAATGACGACACTGGGGTGATTGCGGTGCATGATTATCAATCACGTAGCATTGCAGAGCTTGGTAAGGTCGTGCCTTGAGGAGCTAGATTTAAATACATCACTTTATACCTTTATTGCAGCCCGGCCCTAGTTCTGAGATCAATCGGTCAAGAGGACTTATTTGGACTTTCAGAAATCCGAATCTTGGTCAAATATTCGCTGATTCGATACTACTGTTTCGAGAAATGGCGGGAACAAGGACTATGAAAGCAGTCGGTCAGTCCTCGTCTTGTCTGCTTTTGAATCTGATCTATAAGTGGTTATTGATAGAAAAATAGCTGTGAAAGGCGGCACGGGTCCAGCTGATGCCCTCTACATTGATGACCTCCCGGTTCCACCTATTAGTGGCAACCAGGCGCTCGTGAAGATCAAAGCATTCGGCTTGAACCGAATGGATCTTCTTCAGCGTGAGGGCCAGTATCCGCTTCCGCCCCAGGCGCCGGAGACCATGGGAGTGGAATTCTCAGGGACTATTGAGGATCTGGGACCAGATGCCAATGGGGCCTTCAAAGTTGGAGATGAGGTCTTCGGCCTGGCTTATGGAGGTCAGCTCATGAAACCTGTTATTTGCCTTACCATGGCTGACGATTTATTGCACAGGGGCTTATGCTCAGTACATTGCGGTATCTACTAATATGCTCGTTCACAAGCCTGCGGAATTATCTTGGGAGGAAGCTGCGGGCATTCCAGAGGTAACTTCTACACGATGCCGGCCCTTTTTGAGTGACTTCATCTAACGCCATTAATAGACATGGATCACAGCGACTCAGGCGCTTTATCTCGTTGGTGAGTACAAGCCGGGCCAGTCTGTCCTGTGGCATGCAGGTGCTTCTTCAGTCTCCATTGCTGGTATCCAGCTTGCAAAGGCGGACGGAGCCAAGGCCATTTATGTAACCGCTGGCTCCGATGAAAAGATTGACTTTTGCGTCAAGAAGCTTGGTGCGACTGCTGGATTCAATTATCGAACTCAGGACTGGTCTGCTGAGATCCAGAAAGCCACCAACGGAGAGGGCGTAAACATCATCGTCGATTTCATTGGCGCCAATTACTTCCAGGGAAACCTGGATGCTGCTGCAAAAGACGGTCGCATTGTCAATCTTGCTTTTATGGGTGGTGTGAAGCTACCGGAAGGTGTAAACATTGCTCCATTTCTTCGCAAGAGGCTTCGATTTGAGGGCAGCACTCTGAGGAGCAGAGATGAGCAATACCAGAAGAAACTACGGGATACCCTTGTGGAGCATGCTTTACCCAAGTTCAAGGATGGAAGCTTCAAGGTGTTTGTGGAGAAGGTCTTTCCGATGGAGCAAATTATCGATGCGCATAAGTTGATGGAAAGCAATCAGACGAAGGGAAAGATAATCTGTACTGTGTCATAGAAAGTTTAGCGAGGTGCTATCGCCAGTTTAAGCGTGACAAGAATTCCTGACTCAAATGTCGTGTTCCTGTTGCTTTAATTCCAGTGGTTGATGGAAGGCTAAGGCTCCGTCGGGAGATTTGTCCACTCCGTGCCGAAAACGGTCTCCTGTTCCTCCGGATGCCGATGGTTCGTTGCAATTCTGAAACCAGTCGCTTGATTGCTCAGCAGGAATTGGCCTAGGCGTCATAGCATACGTAAACTAAGACCTTATAAGAGGCCTCACTCGCTGTCGCAATCGTGGAATGAGCTGACGCAATTAGGAAACTGATTGGCCACAGAAACGAGGCTCTTCTAACGCATTGTCCGTTAGCGAAAATGACCATACAACTTCCTACTTCGGACGGGGAAGCAGACCTTGAAGGTACTTCTCCCTCCAAGTTTAATGCCCTTCAAACATTCCGGCGACTATGGGAACTTGTCACCCCAGCTCGCCCCGAGGATATCTCTTCCCGAGAGACCGATCGCTATCCTCCCAAGACCACCGTTCGGAGACGCCGACAATCCATCGCGGATCAGTCACTTGACAGAGACGAACACCTCGCTGAGAAGGTCGCAAGCCACCAGATCGAGGAAACTGTACCTCCCGAGAAGACCGTCCTGTACCTCGCCTATGGCTCGAACCTGTGTGCGAAGACCTTCCAAGGCAAGCGGGGAATCAAGCCTCTGTCTCAGATCAATGTTGTCGTTCCCACCTTACAACTGACCTTCGACATGCCCGGGATTCCGTACATGGAGCCATGTTTCGCAGCCACGCGGCGCCGCACGCACTCAACAGAGGAGACAGGAAGAGTTGGAAACATCGAGAGCCCCGCGGACGCAGATGCGTCTGAGCAATCCACCCTCCTATCGGAAGACCCCACATCCATGCCTCTCGTCGGAGTTGTGTATGAAGTAACTATCACCGATTACGCCAAAATAATAGCAACGGAGGGTGGCGGGGGCGGATACAAGGACATCGTCGTGGATTGCTATCCCTTCCCAAAATCCCAGAGCCCGACTGACCCAATACCCGAACATCCTGAAACCAAGCCCTTCAAAGCTCACACTCTTCTGTCTCCAAACGAGAACCCAGACCCTTGTCATCTCGCTGTGACAGATCATCAGCTCCCCCCTCCATATAGGCGTCCCAAATCTTGCTACGCCCAGCCGTCCGCTCGCTACCTCGATCTGATCAACACCGGTGCAAGCGAACATGACCTCCCGCTTCCCTATCGGAGATACCTCTCGCAGTTTCAGCCGTACCGTATCACGACCGTGCGTCAGACGTTCGGCAAAGCCATATTCGTTGCATCATGGGCGCCCCCTCTCATTGTTATTTTGTCACTTTCGAAACTGCTGGCTGGTCCCGATGGTCGTAGTCCGCCGTGGCTCGTGTGGGCGTCGAATACATTGTTTTATGTAATGTGGAGTACGTATGACAACTTTTTTGCGCCCATATTCGGTGATGGGGAGCGAACTATAGAAGATACACGCTCATAAACAACGTGATTACGCTGTCCATAGGTTGGTCATTAAGTTCAACCTTGTATATAGCAATTGATAGGCCGGAGCAAATGCATGGACTAGTACATATATCTTGGCCCGTTCACGAAGCCACCCGTCTTTGGTCCCCAGTCTCCCAAATTAGCTTGCCCACAGGGTAGATCTAAACTCGGATACTGCACAGGTTATGTATTGCAGAATTTGTATCTCGCAAAGCGCACGAAAAGAGGCTCTAACATGACAAAGGAGAATGAATTGACATCTTTGGATCTTCGAACGAGATTTTCAAAAGGAGAAGAAATATCTAGGGTACAGATACAGGAGTCCTGAGTAACTTGTAACAAACAAACATGCAGTAGAAGCATAGACAAAAAACCGACGTATGAAGGACTGCCGACGAACCGAACCGGACGATTTTCTGGGCCCGTCATTCGCCATCTATGCCTTCACTTTTGGTATTTCATACATGTCCACTGCAGCATCTAGCGCCGGGGAACGGGAGGGCTGTACACGATCTTTCTCGTCTTGATGGGGGCCCACTTGTAGCGCTTGACCCAGACGCTCAGGGCAAACAGACCGGTCAGGATGACGAGGGCCTTGGCACCCATCTTCTTGCGGTCATCCATCTCAGGCTCCGCAGCCCAGTTGAGGAACTCAGTGACATCCTTGGCCATCTGGGAGGTGGTGGCAGGGGTGCCATCCTCGTACTCCACCACACCATCGAACAGGACACGGGCCATGGCAATGCCTAAGATGGGAATTAGCCGAGAGTGAGATCAAGTATGGTCACGAAAACATACCGGTGCCGGGGAAGTAAGGGTTGAAGTTCATGCCCTCGGCGACTTGAGCACCAGCTGGGGGCTCATCAGGGTAACCGGTCAGAAGGCTGAAAATGTAGTTGCAGCCACCGTGACGACCCTTGACGATCAAGCTGAGATCAGGGGGCAGAGCACCACCGTTGGCGGCACGAGCGGCCTCCTCGTTCTTGTAGGGAGCGGGAATGTAGTCAGAGAGCTTTCCGGGGCGCTTCTCGATCTCGCCTTGGTCGTTGGGCTCGGTGTCGTATTCGTTCTCTTCGGCGAAGGCCTTCATCTCGTCGACAGTGTGCATGACACCAACGAAAGAACGCCATGGCACACGGGTAAGAGAGTGGCAGGCGGCGCAGACCTCGCGGTAGACCTGGAAACCACGGCGAAGACTGGAGGATATATGATGAGCAAACCGTTCTCGTCTTGAGCTAGAAGCGAAAGTGGTTCAAGTCAGGGCAAACTCACGCGGCGTGATCGAAGGTCTTGTTCCACTTTGCGTGCTCCCAAGGGTACTGGGTAGGATGCAATCTATAATTTCATGTGTCAGCCTCCTCGCCTGCCTGCAGTCGAAAGATTGACAATCGGTATCGGAGCAACGGAAAATGCCAATCAGGTGACCATTCGTCCAATTGATCGCAATCAGTTCACTCACCCCTCCTCAGCGGGTGTCATAGCAAAAGCTTCCTTTCCATAGAGGCTGTAGTACCACGCGGCGGATCCGATGGCGGCAGCGGTTGCGACGGACGCAGTGAGTGTGAGGTGGAAGGGGGAACTGGCGGCTTCGGCACCGGCTGTCGAGGAAGACGCACGCTGTGCGGGTTGTTAGCAAATAATGCGTCTCGAGGCTTCCAAGACCATTTCTCAAGCGATTGGCCTCATCGACTCCGTTTAATGGGCGTGAGGTGTCGGGATAATGCGTACCGTGGTGGTCTTGCTCAACGACTGGCGGGCGATACCCCGGGAGGGCACGCTGCGCAAAACAGTACGTGCCAGCATACTGACGGTAATTGAGACCCTCCGAACAATAGGCTAAGAGGAAGGCACAATAGCCACAGACGGTGGAGAGGGGAGGGAAGGGGGGTGGGAATAGGCTCAGCGCACAGGAGGATGTGCTTTTGGAGGTGAAGTTGAGGTTGTCGAACCGTCAAGTTTCTCTTGGGTTTGGAATTGGCTAAACCCTCGCACTGATTGGCTGCCGGCCCGGCTCTAGCTGCCTTCGGTGAAAACCGCGAATTTTCGGAACAACAAATTTCAGTGATCAAGCCAGAGCCATACCATAGCCATTTCAAAACTGTGCAATCAACTCTTTCAAGCAGCAATATTCTACAATATTACAGTTACGGTATCTGCAGAATACGTTTCACGTTGAAACGCAGTCAGTTCGTGGCTCTCAAGGCGATCTGACCTCCCTCCGGTGCCGTAGTTTGCCGTACGGAGTAGTATGGAAGTGTGCGGTTCGTCACATGGCCTCAGTCTTGGCCTGGATCTCCGACGCTATGCACTTATGCAATGCTTGAAGCGCGGCTCGAATATCGCATTGGTAGCTGCTGCAATGAAGCACCAAAGATAGAGCCGGCAATCTTCTTATAGTACGGCCGCTCAGTCCCTACGAGACGTTTCATTAGACGCCTGTCACTATGTCATTCAACTGGGGATGTGTCGCTCACCACACTGGCGGCAGCGGCATCCGCAAGCTGCTTCGGTATGGCGTTCGGGAAGATCTGGTAGTTCAGAAGCATTTCTTCAAACATTGGTAGCATCAAGGACTCTGCAGGCTGCTCCTCATATTGCAACGCTGTCTGTGGATCTTCCGGATTGACTTGAACAACGTCAAACGAGGCGCCCTCGATAATCCCTCGCCGGCCTAGTTCTTCCAGGCACTCTTTATAGATCCCATAAATGGTTCTGTTTGATAAATGAGGTACGAACTGCTTGATATCGACGCGATCGAGGAAGGCCTGGTCCTGGAGGAACTTCAGTAAATTTCCTCGACGAGGCTCTGCTTGATACACTTACCAGGGCTGTCACCAGATTGCTCGTACAGATCACGATAACATTGTGATGCTGCTTTAAGCGGTCAAGGCCTGTGAGTAGGGCATTGACTGCTCGAATAGCATCAAAGGGCTCTTTGCTACTCAGAGCGCGTTCCCTTCGGGCTGCCAGCGTTTCAATTTCGTCTACAAACACGCAGACGAAAGTGTCTTCTTCCTCATCAAGCAGTAGCTCAATGCTCTCGAACGCTTTGCTGACCAACTTGCCACTTTCGCCGAAAAACTTGCTTCCGAGGGAGTGAGCGTTGATCTCAACCAGCTTACTCTGTGGGTAATGCTTTCCGAGGCGTATGGCGAGCTTCTGGGACAGGCCACGGCTAATACTGTCAGTCGACGATTATAAGTTGATTCTTTGAATAACCCACCATAGGCTCGTTTTCCCTGTTCCCGGGGGCCCCAAAGGAGGATTAACCTATTCCAGTTGATCGTCCATTTATCAAGCTTCCGAGCAGAGAAGGACACTGTGAGACCGTTAAATGACATTCCTAAAGAAGCAGTATCAACGAAGATCACCCACCCATTCGAGTTATGGCGCGGAGTAGTGTTGACTGTAGAGGCTGGTCGTACTGCAGACTACTCATATTCGTCAGTTCGTTGCCACTGCTTCATAAAAAGAGGATCATCATACGACTCCCAAAGCCCATCCAATTCCGTGCTTGGTAATATCAAAACTTTGGTCTTTCCGGAATCCTCCACATTATCCACTAATTCCTCCTCGTGCAAGGTATGTTGGTTTCTCTCTTGATCAAGTTGGGTGCGAAGTTGATAGGCTTGGACGTCTAGTTCGACGTTTTGAAGACGGTATGCGCCGGACTCGAGATCACCGCCGGTACACTCGGTGACGAGTATCGACTCTAGAGCCTGTGCATATGGCTCCTTCAGACCCTCTGGGCTTGTATCAGACGCTGTTCTTCAGTTTTTTCTTGCTCTAGACGTACCGAAGGAATTTATCTCCTGTCCCAGAGATAGGACAACAAAATTGTCGGTCAACCACTGTGTGATCTGATCCCTGATCTGTGATTACACTTTGCTTAGACGACTGCGTACAATCCGAGAGCCTGGTGCAGTACAAACTGTTCCAACACAGCTTGTAGTATATTTTGCTTGCCGAGCCCATCTATCGCATGTACAAAATGTATTGATATTCATTCTATATTCGCTTCTCAAAAACCCACAGGTGGTGTCTCCCTGATCAATGCCAGATATTCCATGTATATATTCTTGCGCGGTTTTGGAGCTTTTCGCCCATGCTTCATCTGTAGAACAGTGCTGAGATTGCTCTGATGCCTGTGTTTGCAGAATATATCTTCATCTTATAAAGCCAAGACGAGCCTTATTTTTCGTCCACTTCAAACGTTTCAGAATAGGATCTGGTCACTGAATTGCTGTATCGCCTAAATTTCGGCTCTTAACTTGAGTAGTCATCGTCAGAGGAGATCTGGTACGTTCGAGTCACCATTTATTGTTGGTTGGTGCCGGAGATCGGGCCACCGATCTATCTGGTGGATTTTCCGGGGAACTCGACAGGCAAACCTTGTTATTTTGGCTAAGACTTACGGAGTATCTAAGGGTCCTCTGGCACAGTGCCAACGTTCAGCCGCAAACACAATTATCGACTAGCACCACGGTCCATTCTGTAGGACCTTGGAGGTATAATAAACAATGTCTACATGTGTCATTTGAATAGGTAGCTCTTTGCTCAGTATTGGATCCCTCCCACGTCCATCCTGCCCCGCAGTATTTCCCCAGCAGCTCAACAGCACTGGGTGACTCCGCGGCCTCGAGCTTTTCAAAGCTATCATCAGGACGTCTAAAACTTTCTCTCGATGTTGAACAAGACATACAAAGATGGCGAACGTGAGGAATGGGCCGAAACCTGGCGGGAAACCGCGCAGAGACGTACTGGCTTCACTCAAAATGGCCTCAATGGAGGAGATCTCCAGGGCTGCCCTTCCAGCAGGTATGCTCAACATGATCAGTTGGCTCGTCTTGCCGATAGTTATATCTAGTCAAGTTAACGAACCTCACCACCGCCAGAGATCATGTCCTCTATTCTCGATCACCTCTCGCCCGTCGATCTCATCCGTGCCGCACGGTCTTCGAAACTCCTGCGCGAAATGGCCTACGATGATACAAGATGGGTGCAAAAGCTGAAACGCATGGAATGCTGGAATGAGACCGAGGCTCGAAAACATATTGAAGAGACTTTTGGGACAATCGCGAACATGGAGTCTGTCGAGCAGCAACAGGTCGCGGAGGAAACCGGACAACCATTCAGTGAACGAACCCCGGCGATCAGTTTGAATACACTCTCGGATGGATTTGATCAGATTAAACTATCCACCTCTGTTCCTCCCGAAGAGGTTCACGAGCTGGAAAAGGATCCTGTATTGGGCGCGTTGAAGCAAGTGAGATCAGTGCGCGGAGACGCACGCATTGAGTATGGAAAGGTCCACGCTGCATTGGCACCGTTCTACGACGACATCGTCTCATTTGGCCCATCTCCGGATAATTTACTATTTAAGGAATATCCGGATCCTGAGCATCAAGCGCAAATACTATCTCAATTGCGATCATTCGCTAAGTGCGATACAACCGAAGGTTGGCGGGAAAGGAACGCGCGCCTACAATCCGCCGTGTCAATGTTCGAAACAGCTGCTATGAAAGAATTTCGACAAGGTTACGAGACTGAAGATATTGACGGCGCGATGCGTAAATACGCTCATGTTTTATTCACTTTAAATGGCGGAGATTCCGCTATCGAATTCTTCATCAACCATAACCACTTGATAACTCGAAAATCTGATTTGGGCAGGGTAGCGGACTGCATCGACGGGCTGAACCAACGGGTCAAGCTCGAACATACGCAGGCGTTCTTTACCAGGCTGAGTGTGGCTTACAATGAGGAAGTCTCGATAATCAATTGCGCCTTTCCCCGAAGCATGAACGTTGGACCTGCCTTTGTTGAAAAGGTTGCACAAGACGTGCTATATCCATTCTTGACCGCGATATTCGACGAGTTGCATCGTTCAAATCTTGAGTCCTATCTAATCGCAGTCTCGGGGACATTCGCGCAGTGTCTGAACTTGTCAGAAGCACTCTTACCAATCCAGAACACAACTGACACGCTTGACGAGTTTCTGCACCACATCGTGGCGAAAGTCTACGAGCCTCACATTGACTTGTACCTTGCAGAAGAGCTCGACCACTTCCGGAAAAACTCTGCGGCTGTAGTGGATGAGTGGGATAGGCAATTGTCAGAGCAGGCCGCTTCGACTGAATCATTTCTGATGTCCAATGTCAATCGACAGGCCGACAAGCGTGACTTTCTGACTTCGTTCAAAAAGGTAATTATGGCACCGGTCAACATTCTCCCCAGCTTTTCGAGCTCCAAATCAGGCGAAACAAAATCCGATCAGGAGTCCATCGCCAGCGAACCGTCTTCGGCGCTGAAGAGCCCGAATAGGTTTTCCACTATTGCATCCCCTGCTCTTACCTCTACGGTAGAGGCCCCTCCGACCACGGAGCTCGCAGCTAAGGCTGCCGTCATGAAGTCAAAGCTGGAGGGCATCCGGTCTCTGTTTAGTATCGAAATCGCTCTCAACCTAGTTCACTCGGCCAAGTCCAGCCTCGACCGTGCCGCCCAGTTTGTGAAGATTGGAGGTGAGACTGGAGCGGCGGCCAAACAGCAATGTGAGGCAATATTTGTCGCGCTCCTACGTATTTTGGGACATCAACACCTTATTGTCGGTTTCAACAAAGCGGTCGACCATCTATCCAACTATAGACCTCGTGAACAAGGCGAGCGCGATCAGGCAGGGGTTGAGCCTCTGGTTACCTTCTTGGAGCTCGTGAACGTTGGTGACCTTATATTGCAAATGATGGATGTCTTTTACGAGCAAGAGCTTGTTGGGGCCAAGATTACCGATCGAAATGATTTTCTCGATCCTGCTGTGAAGGAAAAGAAGAAATTCGAGCAGATCTTGGACGAACGTGTCGCTGCTGGATTGAACAAGGGTATCAATGTCTTGATGGAGGAAGTGGACTATATCCTCGCGACCAGACAGCAGGCTACTGACTTCAATCCCGATGTCTCTACGGATCCGTACCGAAAGACAATGGACGTAGCTGTCAGTGAGGCGGCCGCGGCCGTGGTTGACGTCGTCTCGTCACATACGCAGATGCTTGTAGGGAGCACGGACAAGAGTACGCTAGATGTCTTCAACCAGGAGGTCGGATTACGACTTTTCACAGCTTTGTGTAAGCATTTGAAGCGACAGAGGATCAGCATCGAGGGGTCCTTGAAGCTTATAAGGTGAGACTGCTCAGGCTGTTCAGAGGTTGTGATTAATCTTTACTGACTATACTAGCGATATGAACCACTACTTTAAATTCATTCAAAGCTTAAAGAACAACGATCTTCTCCTCTACTTCAAAGCCTTTCGGGAACTAGCGCAGATCTATCTGATTGACCCATCTGATGCTAAGGAATTGGCGACAATCATTGCTGATGCAGATCGGTTCTATGGAATATGGAGGGTGGAGGAAGTTTACGAGTTCGCCGAACGACGAGCGGACTGGTTCCAGGTTAAACGCGACGTGGAACGCGCTATGTACGGGATTGGGTGTAACGTTATGTGATTATTTCGTATGACTCTAGTATATATGATGATATCGGATAGACAGGCTAGAATACCCACATCGTTATACAGTCATCGATCAACGGATGGGACGGATGGCAATTCTCCACCGGAAGGAAATCCGGAGCTTGAATTGATATCACCGCCTGCGACTTTGAGTTTGCTTTGTTCTGAGTAACTCACTTTTTAAATACCAGCATCATCTACAAGGCATCTCCGGAGAAGCTGAGCTTATCTTGGCTTGATACCGATAGGCTTTTGCCAGTCGGACTGACGTCAATGAGCGGCTGCTGATACATAGCGCAAGCGTTCTCAGCCACACCCTTCCACCACTGCACTGTTCCATGTTTTCATCCTATAAAAAAAAGATGATATCTGGGGACAGACATGGCGGGATAAAAAGCAGTTTCCCACCGTGTCTCGCCGTGGGCTACTGGGGTGATTGTTGTTTGAAACACGATGAATTGAATACTATGTCATCTCTTTCAGCTATTTAATACAATTTTTGACACTTCTTACGCAATACAGGATTGCAGGTATAGATGGACTACCGAGATTGATTGTCTCTGGCTCTGCATTTCTCACGTCTCAATTGCCTCAATGCTTGCGTCGCTAATGCGGCATGCGCAGAGCACTTGCACTGAATCTATGTCTTGATCGATAGCTTTCATATATCCCTAAAGAAGAGCAGATGAATCACAGGACAAGATACAACTACCAAATTAAAGATCTAAAAGAATGATCCCTACCGCCTCTACACTGCTCGCTGCTGCTCCCATCTTCCTGTGGCTCCAACTTCTCCCCAGCGTACATGCAAGCAACGCTGCAGGAACCACGGTCATAGTCACAGCAACACCCACAATCCCACATCCACCTTCCTACACTTCCCCCGAGATATTCAAAGATGTGGTCCTCTCAGCCAGCAACGCCTACCGCCGAGACCATAACGCAAGCCAACTAAGCTGGAACGAGACACTCACAACATACGCCAAACATTGGGCAGAGGGATGCAAATGGAAGCACTCAGTGAGTCTCATTGCCCCTATCCCTATCAAACGCACATTTAGAATCCAACTGATAATCCCAGGGGGGCCCGTACGGCGAGAACATCGCCTTCGGCTACTCAGACCCGACAGCCGCCGTCTCGGCCTGGGGCGACGAAGGCCAGAAATACAACTACAAGCTACCGACGGGATTCAGCGAAGAAACGGGGCATTTCACGCAGTTGGTCTGGAGGGCGACGAGGGAGGTCGGGTGCGCGGCATTCAATTGCGGGTATAGCGATGGGACTGATGCGAAGGATAAAGAGGGTCGGTATACGAGGGCGCAGGGCTGGTATGTGGTGTGTGAGTACTCGCCTGCCGGGAACGTGGTTGGAAACCAAAATGCTTTCTTCCGGGTGAATGTGCAGTCGGCGAGTACGTATTCTGGACCGGAGACGACAGGGCTTTCTGCCACTGGGACCAGTGTGAGTACGAGTGCGAGTGCAACACCAACCAGTGGTGCTGATGAAGTGTATGATGGGCGCTTGAGAGACCAGTACCAGAATGCTTTTGTTGGGATCATAGTCTTTATGAATTTAGTATGAGGCGTGAAGATGAGAGAGACTAAATTTATGTACGCTCCTGCGAAGGTCTGCTCGCTCATGCATTGTCATCTCTCGTACTACCGACATCGCGTACATAAATTCCCATATAGGGAGATAGCACATATATCTATTCACTTTTTGAACGCTCCAGACACTCCTGGACTGAAACCAAGCCAAATTGATAATGGGAAGAGGCTTAAGGCGGAGAAAAAAAACAGAAATCCCGGGGAGAGATTGGCGAAGATGTCGACAGAGAAGAGGAGTGAAAAGAGATAAGGTAGATAGAGGACAGCATTAGATACGAAAAAAGAACCCCAATTAACCGATGACTTCTTCGCTTTCCTCGACGATCTCTTCGACAATCTCCTCCACAACAGTCTCGCCTTGCTCTTGCGTGGTTGCAAGGGCGTCCTTGGCCAACTTGGGGTCGTCCACGTCCTCGGGGAGACCGTAGGCTTCCTTCTCCTCGGCAAGGAGCTCCTTCTCCCGGAGAATCCAGGCAAGCCACTCGTTGAGAACCCGCTTGCGCTTCTCGACAACGGCTGTGTTGGCAATATCGACGGCGTATCTGTCCTCCTCGTCGAATTCCTTGGAGTATTCCCGAAGGTTCTTGCGCACTTGCTTCTGCTCCTCCTTGCTGAGAAGAGTGGCTGGGCGAGGGCGCCAGAGGAATTGCTTGAACTTCTCTGTGGGGTTCTCGGAAAGGGTGTTACCGGAGAAAGTGTGCATGTTCCAGCCGTTTTCCAACTAGAAGAGGAGGTAAGTCAGCAATGTTACAAATATTGATGAAAATGGTCGCAAAGGCTTCTTACCGAGTGTGTCCACACGCTAGCACTGCTGACGACGTAACGACCGGTAGGATCCCAGTCAATATCCGTCACACCGTAGTGTTCAATGGTCTTCATCAATTGAACGTTGGCGGAGAAGTCCTTCTCGGCTTCGGGCTTCTCGCCCTCAAAGTCCATGTCCCAGAAGTCCATGTCAAAGCTGGTCTGGGAGTGAACGGTAGCAACGACAACGAAACGACCCTTAGGCGACCAGTAGATCGCGTTGCTGTTCTTCTTTTCGATAGTGCGGATAAGCTTGAAGTTACCGATTGCTCCACCCTTCTTCTCAGGGGCAAAGAACGACACGGCGGTCTTGGGTGCAACAGCAGCACCAGCGACAGTCTCGCCGGTTGTGATGAGAACGAATCGATTGCCATTGGGCTCCCAAGCGAAATTGATCACAGTATCCTTGAGACTGTCAACAACCTCCACAGGGACACCCTTCTCGCGTACCCGGAAAATCTCGAGGTTGGTGGCCATGGACTTCTTCGACTTCGAGTGTCTATCCACCTTCACGCAGACATACGAACCCTGGGATTGCCAGTGAAGCTTGACGTCGGAAACATTGAACAAATTACGTGTTCGTACAATTTCTTTCGATGGGACGCTCATCATGGCGACTCTGGCGGGGCTGCTACCGATCTCAGGGGTCCAGAAGCAGAGCAACTGTTCGTATTGTTTGACGCCCTCACGAGTCACAGTTGCGGGTGACCACTCAAAGTCCATGACGCCGTCAATCTTCACCGATGTCTTTCCGAGCAAGTTCATTCGTGGAAGCTCGTAGATCGAAATGGACTGATGCTGTAGCATGCGAGCGACGTACTTTTCATCGGCAGACCACTTGAATGCAGGCCACTGCACCTTCTTCTTGGGCTCAGCGTCTCCCGCGGGACCAGCAGTGAGATCGTGAGAGACGAAGGAACGTAGAGGCTTTCCAGTTGCAATATCCCAGACGATAATGTTCTTTCCTTCCTCCTCGTAAGTCAAAATAGACTGGCCCTCTTCAACCTGAATGGGGCGCGCCGACCAGGTCGTCAGATAGCTCTCACCAGGCGAGAACTCGATGAGCTGGACGAAAGGATGGGGGAACTGCTTCTGTTTCGAGAAAGCGGGACCACCCCAGAGCTGAACACCCTGAGGGTGAACGGATGCGAGAAAAGTACCCTTCGGAGACCACTGGACGAAGAGCTGCGTCCAGTGCGCACGGTCGACGGCATTCTCGGGCGGATTGTTCTTGTTGTTCCAGAAAACGCCAACTTTGTCACCACGATAAAGGGCAAACTGATCACGCGCGTTGGGATCCGCAAGCCACGAGCGGAGATGCTCCTTCTCCTTAAAAGGCTCGATGGCAGGGGGCTTGTACTCTTCATCAATGCGCCCTTCGCGGCCATAGCGCTCGATATCCATTAACTTGTTCACGAGAAGGGTGTGCTTTTTGTCGAGGGGAGTGCCGTGCAGCTGCTTGACCGCGGCGACGGCTTGTTCGGGGGTCTCGAACTCAACGAAGGCATATCTGTAGAACGCAAAGTAAAAGGTCAATTATCCGAGCTGCAACCCTGTGTTCGTCCACCTTTACATACCCTTCGGACATGTTCTTGTCGTTGAGGGGCATAAAGACCGCATCTTCAGACGTGTGGCCCACCGTGTTGAGTTTCCTCAACAAGAACTTGATAAGCTTTTGTCTGCTTTCTTCGGGCACAACCGGCAGTCCATCGATCACAACAAATGTATCCAAACCCTCGTCGAGCTTCACTTCATATTGCGCCTTGAGATCTGGATGTCGGATAAGGAACCGTGTTAGCCATGAGGGGCAACAAAGCGAGAAAACGTCCACCCCCAAGAGTCGCACTCACCGGAGAAGTCAATCTCCTCCTCCTCCTCTTCGTGGAGGTCCTGCTCAGACAAAGTATCGAAACTGGGCGCCATGGCTGTTCGTGACCGGGGACGGTGGAGCGAAGGCGATGGGGAGGTGGGAATATCGAGGATGAGATCCTGTCTAATTTTCTGCTGGTCAACCCCGTTTTGGCTGGCCTTCGATTTTAGGGCAAAAATGAGCAAATCCCAAGCGCAGCCGCTTCTGTGTGCGGTGTGCTGACTTATTTCTGAGTCAGCAATTCACTTAAAGTCACGTGGTTATCTGCTCGTCATCCGCCCCGGCTGGGCTCAGGCTGGGCTTTCATGCATGATTTCCTCATTCGGCATAGCTCTAGACCGAGGTGGTATTATTGTCGTAAGGTACATACATCGAGAGAGGGAAGTACGGTAAACTGGTAACTAAGAATTGCCAATGCTCTACACTCTCTTAAGGTACTACTACTACTTACTGGGGAAGAGCAACAACACCAACGCATCATCCCGGACTTCTTTGCTGCTGCAGGTTGAGCACCCTACCTTGCTGTGGAGTCAACCGTCTTCATCCTGTCTTTGTTCATAAAAGATTAAATGGCTCTCTTCTTCTCATCCTGTCTCCCTTGATATAGGTACCAGTCTCCGTTTCTTATGCCCCGCCGGTCCTAAGCGCCAAGTGAGTGACCGCTTAGATCTGGACGAGCTCAACTATCACCATTGCGATACCCATAGGACTCACTTTACTCTGATCAACACTCTACTCCCGACCTGTAGCGATTTCTCGAACCTCAATTCTGATTTCTCCAGCTTTGGATCTGTGAAAAATAAGAAATCGAAGCTCTTGGACGACATGTCGCGTAAGATCACCATTCTATGTCGTGTGTAAGCTCCGAACTCGGTCGTTACTGACATCATGCTTTGCGCGATAGTATCCCCAGACGTTGAGGCCCGATACACAGAGGTCATAGATTCAATTCTTGCAAAAAGCGACTTGAATACCATTTCCGAGAAGCGCATTCGCAAAGGCCTTCAGGAAGTCGTCGGCTATGATCTCACTCCTCAGAAGGTCCGTAACGCCATCCTCGACCCTGTCGCAAATTGTCCCTCTCAATATTGGCCCATCCTGGGCACTACAAATTTTCCGCTAACGCGCGTTGTTATTGCAGGCTGCAATCAAGCAGCTTATCATGAAAAGGTTCGATATATTCGCGGAACAAAGCGGCATCGGAGCTTCTGATGATGCGGCTGCATCGTCGACCGCCCCTACCTCCAACGGTCAGGCACAGAACCATGATTCAGTAACACCTGCGGAGCCCTCACCTCCTGCTCAGTCCTCATCCCCTCAGAAGCGTCAAGCGGAGAGCGATGACCAGTCCGATCCATCAAGCAAAAGCCCCCCGGCAAAGAAGAAGAAGCCCGACCACGATATCGACGCAGATGCCCTCTATGCTGCCAAATTACAGGCAGAGGAGAACATGCGGGCTCGACCAACTAGAGGTGCCAGTACTCGTAGGGCGGCACCGGTGAAGAAGAAGACCAAGGCCAAAACGTCCAAGAAAGTCAGGGCGGAAGACGACTCGGATCTTGATTCGGGTTCTGAAACAAAGAAGGAAGTGAACCGATCTGGCGGATTTCACGTAAGTTTCCACCACTTCTTATAGGATGTCAATCTCAACTGACAATCGGACAGAAACCATTGAACTTGTCTCCGGCGCTTTCGGCATTGCTGGACGGCGAGGCTACGGTACGCTATTCTCGCACCGCGATTCTGTCTAATCCACAATCTGGAACATCTACTAATCGCTTACAGCTTTCTCGTCCTCAAACGGTAAAGAGACTCTGGCAGTATATTCGTGAACACGATTTACAAGATCCTACCGACCGACGTCAAATCCGTTGCGACGACGCCATGCGCGCTGTTTTTAAACAAGATCGCATACACATGTTCACAATGACCAAGATCCTCAATCAGAATCTGTATAGCCCGGACGAATAGTCTTTCATTTATACGACCGATACACGACGATATTTTCCGCTTCAACTGCAGCGCGGCCATTGCTACCCATCACGAGCATACTGAACATTTGTTTTCTTTCCATATCCTGCCTCTTTGCCTCTCCAGCATATCGCATTGGATTCCAGGCGCTACCCGTTCGATTTCAAATTTTTTATACTTACTCTCATTGGCGATTCGATTGCCCATGCTTATTTTCATATGTTTCTCCAGCGGGAGTTGGTGCTGCCTCCAAGACACAGTACTTGACGGAGGATGTCTTCTAGACGTTGATAGTCGATAACTTTCCATAGCTTCATAGGACGAATCCTCATGAGTCATTCAATAATTGATTTCAGAATCGGTATGCCAAACAATCCGTGTGGCCACCGTGAATAGTTGACCAGGTATAATATATTGCCCACGGCAATATTATATAATATGCTTTAAGCGCGCTGTAGACAATAGGGTGATTGCAAAATATTCTCGCCAGTCGGGTTGGAAGGCTGTTGACAAAGTATAAGCTACTCCGTACTCTGTCTATCTCCCCAGAAGCTTGGTGATAACTAAGCAGTGAGCGCAACTTTTTGCCCGCCGCGCACACCCCCACCACAGAGTGCAGACGGCCCACGTTCAAAAGAATCCTCCGCAGGTCGCCCCAGACAATCGTTCGTCGCGTATTCGAACGGGATTGCTGAGCCCTTTAAAATCTACACTTGCCTTTCGGGCATTGCCCCATCCTTCTCACCCCAAGGTCCCCAATAACACTTTGGCCAGCTCTCGTCATGTCCGAAACCGAGCACCCCCGAGCGACGCCATCCCAAGGCCAGAACCGTGGTGGTAACCGACGGCGGGGCCGAGGAGGGCTCTCTCATCAAACTGGACAGACAGAAGGCGCACAACGTCCGGCCGATGGTGCTGGAAGGGGTCCACGATCCCGCGGTCAGGGACCCAGACGTGGAGGCGGGGGACGCGATAAGCAAAACCGCAGTGTCAGACCGGGTCAAGCCGCTGATGAGAACGCAACTCCGGAGGCTAATGGGGAAACGCGCTTACAAGGCCCCTCACTGGGGGATGAAGGTAAAGGCGAGCAGGTAGCTGCAGCGGCGACAGACGATGCGGACGATAGCGAGATCTGCTTCATTTGTGCGTCGAACGTCGCACACAGCTCCGTTTCGCCGTGCAATCATCGGACCTGTCACATCTGTGCTTTGAGATTGCGAGCGTTGTATAAGAACAAGGCTTGTGCGCATTGCCGGGTATGTTTCGTCTTATGGACTGAGTATTCATCTCCAGAGTCCGCTAACGTGTGCTCTCTGGCCAGACCGAATCCAGCTATGTAATTTTCACGGACGATCCGGCAAAGAATTATGAGGATTTCACGGATGCGGATTTCTCTCAGAAAGATGATAATTTGGGAATCAAATACGAGAATAATGACATTTTCGAAGACACGGTATTACTGCTGCGGTACAACTGCCCTGACAGGAGTTGTGATGTGGCTTGCTTGGGTTGGCCTGACCTGCATCGTCACGTCAGGAGCAAGCATGGTAAAGTCATGTGGTATGTGCTCATGGGCTGTTGTGCGCATGACTGATAGAAGTGTTGCTAACGATTATATCAGCGATCTTTGCACTCGGAACAAGAAGGTCTTCACGCATGAGCATGAACTTTTCACTATGGCAGAGCTGCGCAAACACGAGAAGTATGGTGATGATGTGCCAGGAGCCTTGGATCAAAGTGGTTTCAAAGGACATCCCGAATGTGGATTTTGCCGCAAGAGATTCTACGGCGATGATGAACTCTACACGCATTGTCGTGACCGTCATGAGAGATGCCACATATGCGATCGCCGGTCGGCCAGTCGGCAGCAGCAGTATTACATTGACTACAATGCCCTTGAGGATCATTTCCAGAAGGATCATTTCCTCTGCCTGGACAAAGAGTGTCTGGAAAAGAAGTTCGTCGTTTTTGAGTCACAGATGGACTTGAAGGCCCATCAGCTAGAGTGCCATCCCAACGGACTCTCCAAGGACGCTAGACGAGACGCGCGGATGGTAGATCTATCAGACTTTGACCTGAGAGCACCTTATCAACCCCAGAGACAACGCCGTGGCGCTGGCCGTGGTCGTGATCCGAATGCGGATCCCCTGCCTGTATCAAGCGCTCAGCCGTTAAGGCGGGATGAGATTGCTTACCAGCGACAGATGGCTATCCAGAGTGCACAGTCTGTCTCCACCCGCAGCTTTGGCGGCCAGCTTACTCGCAATGATACTCAAACTGTTCGCGCGCCAGCTAGGTCTGGCAGTGCAACGCCGGTTCGAGCACCTTCCGCCGGCCCGCCAGTTGCGGAAATGGAGGCTCTCAATGTCGGGGCTCCGTCTGGGCCTGCCACACCGCAGGACCAAGCTCGCCGTCTGCGACACGCAGCCGTGATTGAACGCGCCGCCAACCTCCTGCGGAACGACGCAAGCAAGCTGGCGGATTTCCGCACCAAAGTCTCTCAATACCGCACGTCAGCTCTATCACCAACCGAGCTCATAGATGGTTTCTTCTCCTTATTCGATACTTCTAGCACTGAACTTGGAAAGCTTATCAAGGAGCTCGCGGAAATTTATGAGGATGAATCCAAGCGCAATGCCTTGCTGAAGGCCTGGAACGACTGGCGCGCGATCAATGAAGATTACCCTGCTTTACCAGGTCCGGGAGGCCAAATTCCAGGCATGTCACCGGGCACAGTAAATGGAAGCGGCGTCGGCGGAAAGCGTGTCCTCCGCCTGAAGTCATCAACAGCACAATCTTCCCGGTCTGCAGTCGGCAGGAGTGGCTCTATCGTCTCGACATCCTCATCCTCCTCCACTAACCCATTCCCGCCCCTCTCCGCCTCTACAGCCCGCTCTGCCCCTAGGGCGACCGCAACAAGTACTCCCTGGGCCGCAGCAGCCCCGACTACTACTCGAACCATGGCCAGCGCCATCAGCCCATCTTCCCGCCCGGCACCTACTATCTCCCGCACCGTGCGGAACACAAGTGACTCTGAAGCATTCCCTGCTCTCCCCGCAGCGCCCAAGCCGAACGTCCTCATGGCGGGCCTCACTCGCGGGACGGTTCGATGGGACGACAGACGACCCTCGCCGGTCAATGCTTGGGCCTCATCCGCCGGAAGCGGCTCCGCATCTGCGAACGGGCCCGATGATAACTACGGGGAGTCGTCGTCAGCTGGAGGGAAGAAAGGCAAAGGCAAGAAAGGCAAGCAGACGCTCTTTCATTTTGGATAGGGTATCTGCCTATGTCGACGTCTGAGATTTGTATTCAAGCGGTTACATATTGCGTTAGAGGTAAATTTGATAGCGTAAAAGGATATGTAGTAGTCTGTCCAAGCAGGAGGAGTTACATAAGAACTAGCAGAATGGAAGCTAATCTTACGAATCTCATTGTTGCCTTGACGTGTCTGCCAAGTAAGATTTCCGAACACTATGATAGAATATCTTAACTTGCAACATTGTTACCTGTCATAGAATTAGTTCGCTTTTCCCTGATTGATTAAAGCCATTATTAGTCCGCTGGGGTCTCATCACGAGACATCTCCCGTGAAGAGGAATCTATTACTGACTCCCTAGACGCCGATGAGATCAGAATGGCAGTTTGTGGTTCATCGCCAGAGGCACCTTCAGCGCGCTCTTGGGAAGATGGGTGCTCAGAGGTATCTTGTGCAGTTTCGGCCGGAACAGTATCTGGATCATTATCTACTTCATCATCGCTCATCTCTGCCGTCTCCTCCTCGATGGCGGCCATTCGCAGTACAAAATTATCCTGCAGTTTCTTCAACCATTGTCGGAGAGCGTCCCCTTCCAGTGTTCCATTGCGCGCTAGTAAAAGTTGCTCTCTCAAAGAAAGCAGCAGATTGCGCTTACGTGACAGCATGAGCGCCTTGGACCTGCTATGCCGGCGTTGTGCTATCTTGTTCAACTTCTCCGATACTGCCTGAGCAGATTCAAGCACTCCCGGCGGCAGATCCACAAGCTTTGCCACTGCAAGGCCGTAGAATTGCGTTGTGTCTGGACCTTCTGCGATCTTGTAAAGCATCACCATCCGAGATATGTCCGGTGAGATTTCTGCGGCCAGATGGAGACTGACCACGCCACTGCGCTCTGCCAGGATCAAAGCCAAGTCGCGGAAGTGCGTGACGAACCAGACATGTGCGTGGCTTTCGATAAGAGCTTCCGCAATGGCAATGGCGATTGCAAGACCATCGGTTGTACTCGTGCCGCGGCCGAGTTCGTCCACAATCACCATACTCCGCGGCTCGATATTACGGAGGATAAACGCCATCTCGCGCATTTCCGCGGCGAAGGTTGAGACATTCGCCTCGAGATCGTCCGATGTAGAGACGCGAGCGAAGAGCTGGCGTATTACTGGAAAAGATGCATATTCTGCTGGAATAAAACAGCCAATTTGCGCCATGATGGTCATCAGTGCAAGTGAGCGGATATAAGTCGATTTCCCGCTCATGTTCGAGCCGGTAATTATCTGGAAACGCGACTGCTGAGTTGCGTAAGCGTCGTTGGGAATGAACTTCTTCGTATGGATCTTTTCCCGAATCGGGTGCCGTCCGGATTTGATAGCGAGCACATCCGTCAACTCAGGTCGGATGTATTCGTTGCATGTGGCAAGCTCCGCAAAAGCAGCAAGCATATCAAGCATGGCTATAGCTTCGCTCACCTTGAAAAGGACGGATATTTCTGAGCAGACATCGTTGATAAGGCTTTGAATGGTTTGATCGCTCATGTTGACGACCTCATTATGTGCGTCTATGATTTTCTGGTTTAGCTTGACGAGATCAAGGGTCTGGCATTCTATGCGGTTTTTTCTGCGGTATATATTGATAAAGATTTCCGGGAGAGTCTCTACCTCCGAAGCGGACACACTGATATAATACTGACGAGCCGAATCGAACTTGAGGTCTAGATTGAGGTTGTGCGATTCTGGGAAAGGATAGGCAT